AGAGGAGGCCCGGGGAGGCCCTGGCGCTAATGTAGCCGTTAGCTGCAGGGACACAGAGAAGAAGATTCATGGAAGGTGGGGGGGGGGCGTTTACGTGTTTGTAGAGTCTGAATCCACCTGTGAACTCTGAGTGTGTGTGTTCAGACCTGTGTGCGTGTGTGTATGTGTGTGTCTCTGTGTGTGTGTAACTGCGTGTGTGTGTGTGTTCTCATTAGCGAGTTGGATCCCTCTGTGTCACCACATGCTCTCCATCGTTTCTGCAGCTCAAACAGTATTTTTTTGGGCAGAACTCTTCTCCATTCTCCAGCACCTCAACTTCAGAACAGCCTCTCTCTCTCTCTCTCTCTCTCTCTCTCTCTCTCTCTCTCCTTCCTCTCTCTCTTCTCTCTCTCTCTCCTCTTTCTCTCTCTCTCTCTCTCCTCTCTCTCTCTCTCTCTCTCTCTCGAAATGTTTTATTTCCTCTCTCTTGTGTGCTCCTCTTGTCTCGATGCTCAGGAAAACCCACACACACCTACACACACACACACACACAGACACATGGTTGAATGTTCAGAACAGCTCTGAGGTACTCTGCACTACATCATCCTGATCAGATGCTGTTTGTTGTAGTACCTGCTTTAAACCACAAGGGGCAGAACTTCTGATGTTTCACTTGATACTCATTTGTTTCTAGAACTTCTTAATGTCAGTCTCTGGACACGAGGAGGACTCGGACATAAAGACGTGTTTTATTTTCTTAATTAATCTGTGAAGAGAAGCCGACATGTTTCGTTTGTAATTAAACGATAATTAAAAAAGAAGAGAAGAAGAGGAAAGGAGAGAAGAATCTTGAGAGTGGAAGGTCGGATTCAAATCTTACTGATGCTCAATCCCTCTGAGGGACAGGAGGAGCTGCTGCTTCTGTGTGGGACTACTTTCAGCGGTGGATGAATCTGTATTTGGAGGATTGAGGAAGCAGGATGCAGGACGCAGGACACTGGAGACAGGACACAGGAGACAGGACACAGGACACGACGCAGGACACAGGGCACAGGACATAGGACACAGGACATAGGACGCAGGACACAGGATGCAGGAAACAGGACGCAGGACGGTGCACGTAAACCAAACCTCTGTTTGGACAGGATCAGTTTTACCTGGTCAAGTATTGTGGAGGACGTCGGTGTGTTTAATCGAGTGTGAATCTATTTGTGAAATGAAAATTTGAAAAGGCTGAATATCATCAGAACAGTTTGTGTGATTTCAAGCTTTGTCAATAAGTGTGATGATGAGAACGCACCGCCGTTTCAAGCCGTGAAATCTACGCCCCCGTGATGTTTCTCCTTCTGAATGTCATGGAGGAGTAATGGGGGGACGCAGTGAGGGCGGAGCTTAGTTACAGCGCTAAAGGGAAAAAAGCGTCTGAAGAAGGCTGCAGACCAAACTAATCCAAACAGGATCCTCAAACTGAACGTCAAACAGTTTCAAGATCTGGATCTTTGCAGAAGAAGAATCATGTTGAAACCTTCTTTTCTCACACTGTGCTGCTTATTTTCTTTCTCACGGTGCATTCCAGCAACATGACGCGCCCTCCTTTCAAACTGTACGACTGGTCACATTCCTGATGTCGACAACGTAACAGTCAGTCTGCAAGAAGCAGCAACACCTGACGCAGGACGGGCGTGAATGTTTACATCAACCTCTTAACCAATCCAAACTTCTTACCTTAAAGTTTCCTGATAAGTTTATTTTTAAGTATTGCTTATTAGGTCATCATTTAAAAAAGGGGGCGGAGTTCAACGTCTAATGAACAAAAAGATTCCTGCAGACTGCCGCCTGTTTGTGCAGCTGAGGTCAACGAAAGGACTGAAGCAGGGACTTTCCCAAAAACACACACACACACCCACACACACACTCACACCCCCCCACACACACACACAAACATGCACAACTGGCTGTATTCCCCATGGACAGGCAGAGTCTGTGTGATAGCAGATAGCTGTTCGCCATGTCGCCGCCTCCAGACGACAGCAGCATGTGACTCTGCTTCATCTCAGCAACACACACAAACACACACACACAAGCACACACACACACCACACACACACACACACACACACACACACACACCAAGCACACACACACCAAGCACACACACACACACACAACACACACACACACACACACACACCACACACACACACACACACACACCCACCCACAGACGAGTGTGTCACTGACTGATGGGAACCTGCTGTTGGTTATGTTGTGTTCATGCTTGTGGGAGAAGGAAGTGGGTGGCGTCTTTAACGCGACCCTGAGTTATGACTTAACACACAAAAAACACACAGAGCGTGAAACTGTTTGAGTGTGTGTGTGACTGAGCAGAGATTTGTTGTCAGCCCGGGGGCAGCTGCGAGTCGTACATTTCAGACACAGCCTGGAGTCCTGGCATCTTTGTGTGTGTGTGTGTGTGTGTGTGTGTGTGTGTGTGTGTGTGTGTGTGTGTGTGTGTGTGTGTGTGTGTGTGTGTGTGAGTCACATGGAGACAGGTCCATGTGTTGTGACTTTTGTTTACTTTATTTATGCACACAGGCTGTTATCTGAAGTTTTTTGACGCCAATACTTGAGTTCTTCTTTGCGTGTTAGTGTATCTTCAGTGTGTGTGTGTGTGTGTGTGTGTGTGTGTGTGTGTGTGTGTGTGTGTGTGTGTGTGTGTGTGTGTGTGTGTTTGTGTGCGTTTGTGTGTGTGAAGTCTCCTATTACATGAGGCCGAGAGTGGGAATTTGAGGAATGTCGGGTGACGTCAAAGGCGACATTCCCAGAGCCCGAGTCCCAGGACAACAGCTGAGAACGACAGACCGAGGAGAGGAGAGGAGAGGAGGGGAGAGGAGAGGAGGAGAGGAGAGGAGAGGAGAGGACAGGAGAGGAGAGGAGAGAAGAGAGGAGAGGAGAGGAGAGGAGAGGAGAGGAGAGGCTTCACTAAAGCTCTGAAACAGAGACGAGGTGTTGATTGCTACCTTTATTCAGTGAATATAGAAATAAATAAAACACCACCTCCTCTCTGTATCTATCACTGTGGGCTGGCTGCCTCTATCTGTTCCGCTTAATGGGATTTAAGGGGGGGGGGGGCTGGCCTGTGTCAAAGTCACCTCTGAGGAGAGCCCAGTGCCAAGACGAGGGACAGTTGGATGAGAGGGTGGAGAGAAAGAGGAGGGGTGAGGGTAGATAATTCCAGGGAGAAGACGAGGGGGAACAGCTGAGAGAGACAGGATGAAGGAGGGGGGGGGGGAGAAGAGGGGGGAGGAGCTGCTAGACTGCTGTCGTACCGCCGTCACCGTTAAACTCTAATGTCAGTCTAATACTCAGATTCAGGCTCTACTTTCAGCTGCTTCATGTTCCTGTTCTTTCTCTCGACCTCACTCAGCTGCTTCCTGTTCTTTCTCTCGACCTCACTCAGCTGCTTCCTGTTCTTTCTCTCGACCTCACTCAGCTGCTTCCTGTTCTTTCTCCCGACCTCACTCAGCTGCTTCCTGTTCTTTCTCTCGACCTCACTCAGCTGCTTCCTGTTCTTTCTCTCGACCTCACTCTGCTGCTTCCTGTTCGGGGTGCTGAGCGAAGTCTGTCGATGTGATGACTACCCTCAAAAAGATGAGTCAGATCTCCTCCACTAATGTTGCTGACAAATTTGATATCAGAAGTCCCGCCCCTTCTTTGTTTTGATTGGTCATGTAAGGGAGAAGGGAAATTGTTGAGCGCAGTGGTGTTCTACAAGTTAAACTATTTTCACATGAGAGCGCTGAGTAAAGCAACAACAAAAAAAATAAAAAGTGGGCGTGACCCGTAAAGTATCAACCATTCCCAGACTGTTGTGTTGGTTTGGTTTGACACATGGGGAGATCCTCATGTCTTTTAGTAACACAGATGATCTAAGATATGTTTCTGCAGCTCGACACAAACCAGACTCTGAGCTGTCAGGATCAGCTGAGCCGGTACGACAGGCTTCACTGATGTAACGTGACGCTGGAAGGTGTGCATGCAGAAGCTCAGTGGGATGAAGTTACTGTACTGAATGTATTTTATTCTGCACAGTGCTGCTGTGAAAATAAAACCTGCTCCAGTTGGCAGTGAGTTGTGTTCTCATCCTTCGTCTTCACAACAACACAGAGACTTCTCTGTAGTAAGACAGACCGGCTCCACATGCAACACGCTGCTGATCTATTTTAATCAACCGATCAGTAACACTGACCTGATTAAAATGACCACAATCCAATGCTAACTTCTGTTAGCCTGTTAATGGCATTTTCCATTATGTGTTAGCATCAAGCTAAAGAAGAAAGAGGTACATCCTGGTCCATCTGTGAGAAATATTGCCCACCACTTTTGAATCCCTAACCACTTCCTGTTTCTGGGACTGACTTCCTGTCCTAACCTTCCATCTACCAGAAGGGCCTTACTGTATTTCTAAAATAAAAGCACACAGCAAGGAGAGTACTCTCAGCTTGAGACAGGACAAACCTTCAAAATAAAAGCGTAACTGTTCTTATTTTTAAATATGAAAAAATGTAACTTCAAACCAGCGATTAATCACAATAAAGTTTTTTTTTAAATTAGTGATTACTTGTTAGGAGGACGAGGACAACTACAATGAGGACAACAACCATGACAAGGACAACAACCACAACGAGGACAACGGCCACAATGAGGACAACAACCACAACGAGGACAACAACCACAACGAGGACAACAACCACAATGAGGACAACAACGACGAGGACGACGAGGACGACGACCACAACGCTAAGCAGCACAGGAGCTCAAGCTCTACAACCTGAAACCACCTCTGCTCTCTGGAATGATTACAAGCAGCTCGTACTGCGACCTTCAGCTGTCCACACCAACAGGTGTGTGTGCGTGTGTGTGGATTTGGTGACCGCCTGTTGCCACACACAAAACATTCTGTGTGGCTCCGTCTGTGAGTCACACTCAGACTTTATTCCGCAGCTGTTTACTGAAAACACGGAGAGGAAGTGAAGCGTGCGCGTGTGTGTGCGCGTGTGCGTGAGTGTGTCTGTGTGTGTGTGTGTGTGTGTGTGTGTGTGTGTGTGTATGTGTGTGTGTGTGGTGATCATTGTAAACTCTTCTCAGGGTCGTTCTTTAAGAGGAAGAAGAAGATAACTTACGGACTGGACTCGGGCACGCCCCGTTGGAGTTCCCCAGGTCGCCTCCGAGCAGAGCTCCTACGACACGAGAACAGACGGAGAGAGAGCGGGACATGAAACATCACAACTCTGCTAACACGCTGCACGCCGTTTTATCGGAGGATGTCATTATTCAAAGATCATAACTGAAATGGACGTAGAGCTTCTGCTGTGGACACACTCCACGAGGAGCAAAATTAGTTTGAATTCTGAAACACGGTTCATTCATGAGAGGAGAGATCATCTGAAAGACGAGTTCATCATAAACACTTTTATCTTTAATGGAGCTTCAGAGTGAAGTATCCTGAGCCAGGCAGAGATTCACACCTGATCATGTAAAGACGTCCCATTGGTCGCTGTGAGAGTGTAAACAACTACAAAGGAAACGGTCCAGCATCAACACAATAACAATAATAATAATATTAATAATAATAATAATAATTAACGGCTGCCTGAGTTTGATTAACGACCTTTTTCTGCAGACACCAAAGTAAGAAAAGTAAAAAAAACGAGAACACAAATGTGTTTCTTCATTTCAGAGAACTTTTCCCTCCACATGTCGCAGAGCTTTTTTGCTCCCTGTTGGGGTTCAAAGTTCCGTTTTTGGCTCCGCCTCTCCTCAGAAAGGAGGAGTGGAGGTCATCAGGGGCGGCTGAGAGAAATCTGGCAGGACGGACGCGAACGAGCAAACCCAATACATGTGGTGAGGAAGAGAGAGAGAGAGAGAGCTGCAGAGAGCTGAAGTTATGAGGGGGGCGCGCATTACTGCCTGGGAGAACGGCGCGTTATGAAAGATGCTGTAATGCGATGCTGTTGCACGTTACATCACCTCTTTCTGACTTACAATGAGATTACGCTGCTCGGAAAACAAAGCCTGATAAGTAACCTCGTCTGAGGCGCAGAAATCCTTTTAGTGGGAGGGAGAAGGATCGCTCGCCACACGGAGGCAGCCTCCGTCAGCGAGGAGATGGATGTGTGTCATTAAAGAGGCGGAGTGCACCTCTCCCTGCTCTGCTGCTGTTTCACTGAAACGGCGTGCATAGAAACAGGAAGTAAAGCGTGTCTGCTGAATAGATACACCACGATCAGAATCAAACACAACCATTAAATATCGATGTTTCTTAAGATCACAATGAAGGTTTGTGAACGTGTCCAGAGGATTCCAGATAAAGGCGGGGATGTCTGCGGCGTGATCCTCCGAGGGAAGGCGGGAAATCAAAGTGCGTCCAGGAAACCTTTGTTTTAATCCCTGACGGCCTCAAACTTCACTTTGTGAGATCAGAACGAGACTCAGTGAGAGAGAAATAAACACGAGGGCGTGGACTCTGAGTTTCTTTTTCTTGTTTTGCTGCTTTAAGAAAACAACGCTCATCATTGGCTGCGTGTCGACGCGAGCAGATCACCTGCTGATTGGTCGAAGCTGTAACTCACTGACCAACCAGCAGCAGGGAGGGTTGGTTTGGGTGTTTGTTATTGGTTAACCTGATCGTGCTGCAGAGCTTCACTGCGTCTCTCACCTGCACTGGCTGGTCGCTGTGGTAACCCTGGCGACCCGGTGTTCCTCTGCAGAGTCGGTTGCTGTGGCGACAGGAGGCGTGGGTCTTGGAGGGTGGAGGTGACGAAGGAGGTGGTGGTGACCAGGGCGCCGCCGGGGTTGTTGCTGAACTGGAGGGCTGCAGCCGCCGCCGCCGCGTTCTGATTGGATACTGGCACGGTGACTGGCATGGAGAAGGTTTGCTGTGGGACTGTGGACTAGAGAAATGACAGGAAGAAGGCGGGGCTTAGACTGTAGTGATATCATACATACCTACAGTAACAGACAGGTGACCAGTTAGTGATCAGCAGCAGCTCAAACAAGCGGTGAGACGCACGCAGTCACACAAATCGACCAATCAGAAGAAGAAGCTTCCCAAAACAAACTTGATCACTTACACACACACACTCTCCCTCTCTCTTTCTTTCTCTGTCTCTCCCTCTCTCCCCCCTCTCTCTCTCTCCCCCCTCTATCTCTCTCTCTCCTCCTCTCTCTCTCTCTCTCCTTCTCTCTCTCCTCCTCTCCCTCTCTCCCCCCCCCTCTCTCCTTCTCTCCCTCTCTCCCCCTCTCTCTCTCTCCTCCTCTCCCTCTCTCCCCCCCTCTCTCTCTCCTCCTCTCTCTCTCTCCTCCTCTCTCCTCTCTCCCCCCTCTCTCTCCATCTCCTTCTCTCTCTCCTCCTCTCCCTCTCTCCCCCCCTCTCTCTCCTCCTCCTCTCTCTCTCTCCTCCTCTCTCCCCCCCTCTCTCTCTCTCTCTCTCCTTCTCTCTCTCCTCCTCTCCCTCTCTCCCCCACTCTCTCTCTCCTCCTCTCTTTCTCTCTCTCCTCCTCTCTCTCTCAGTTGTTTTCATGCACGGTGACTTGGTGACAGCTGTGTCTCCTCTCACGCCTCATGCCGGGTTAAACAGCGGCGGGTTATTGCGTTGTGTTTTTGGCGTTTGCGTCAGACTCCACCTGCTGTCACGTTTTCATCAACATTTCATTTAAAGGGGTTTCTACATGTTCACTATCTACAACCTGAGATGACCTCTAACATGGAGGTCCAGACAGACCTGGATCCTGGAGAAATGGAGGGCGAGGACCTCGTCCGGCCATCTGACCCACTTCGCCCTGTTCCAGGTCTGAAAGGAGGACTCTATTTATAGAATATGGAACAGAGCTGCAGCGCTCAGAACTCAGAGACCCAGTTAGACAAGGACGCCGTACTGCCCTCCGTCTACGCCTCTGAGCGCCGTTTTTATTGAGAAGAAGATTTAAATATAAATCAGTTTTATTTTAAATTTACCGTCTGGATCTGACAGATTATTGATGTGACGAGTCACAAACTTCACAAAGTTGTAAAGTTGGATTTAAATATTCAACAGCTAGAGCCCAGATGGAGGCGTGTTCACATGAGTTTCTTTAAGACGTTCTTCCGTCTCTCTGCGTTGAGCGTGTTACATCCTGCAGCTCTGAACGTTTTCATTTCTCACAGAATTAATCAAACTCAACGTCAGGACTGCGTCGTCATCGATTCTTTAATGGGAGAATTTTAGTGAAAGTCATTTAAGGGTTAACTTAAGAACTTCAGTCTGTTAGGGCGAGCGGCACAGGAAGTGGCGACCATGGTGGGTGGAGATAGCGGCTCACAGCACTGCATCACGGCACACCTGGCGAGCGGGGGGGGGGGGTGGATGGATGAGGGGTTAGAGCTCGTGTCCCGCCTTTTCTAAATCTGAGGATGTCAGGATGAATATTTTGAGTCTCTGAATGAAGATGCAACATCTCAGACGTGTTTGAAATCAGATCAATAATTCAGAAAGACGTTTGCGATTCTTTCATGATGTGAAATCAGAAATGAGGCCGGAGGCTGAACCAACACATCAACGTAACAAAGTTTAATCTCTTCCACAGCGCTGTTAACGAGTACGTCCTCATCGTACTGAGAGCGTTTAAATAAAACAGAACGCCTGATTTTAAACTTTTAAAGACGCTCAGATGAAAAGACTGAAATCTGGATGGAGGTCACATTTAGGAGCGATTTATATTCCAGGTGTTACAGTAAACTCTTTATTATTGAGGCTGAGAACACCGAGTCTGCTGGGATTGATTCACCGTGTGTCTCATGCAGGATTCTTTGAGTTCCCTGTTTTAGTTTTAAAGTTGAACACCGACCCTCCACACGAGGCGTTTCAGAGTCCAGCTCCTCCTCCGGACGGCGCTCGCTGTTAAAGGAGGAAATCTTCACAGAATCTGAGCGCCAAAGAAAGGATCAAAGCAGAGACCCTCAGGTTGAGAAAGCTGGTCTGATCTGTGAGCTCGGGGTGTCGTCTCGCCGCCTGTCCTCCTCCGACCCCCCCACCCCGCCTCCGGAGGTCTTTTAGTACAAGTGGGATTAAGCGTGTATATCCCGGCCCCGAGCTGTCGTGAAGGGGATTATGAAGCTGAGGGAGGAGAGGATGTTTGTTCAGCCTGCTGGAAGGTGTGCTGGGCGGGCTCACATAATGTGGTGGCGAGGTTTGGGGGCGGGGGGGGGGGCTAACATCCAATCGCCACGGGTGCTCCGAGCTGGAAGGATTTTAAACTACAAGAGTTCAGAGCGACTCGTTTTCTCCGAAGGGGCGTGAAAAGGGTTCTGGTTAATTTAATGAGGAGCCGTCATTTAGGGGAGGAGCCATTCTTTAGTGGGAGGAGCTGTGATTAAGGGGAGGAGCTGTGATTTAAAGGGAGGAGTTGTGATTTAAGGGGAGGAGCCAGTCAAGTCTTATTTCTGTACTTTTGTTCCTTTAGGTGATGACTGATTGAAGGCCGCGTCTCTCCTTCAGATGAATCTCTGAACTCGGCTCTGAGGTGGTAGAACGCTTTAAGTTTAACGTTTGAAACAGGCAGAAACGTTTCCAGTGATCAAAGTTTTTAACCTTAGCTCAGAGAAACTTCAGGATTAACCGCAGTCTGCAGTCCCATGTTGTGTCTCAGAGTTACACGTCTGGTATCAGGGCTCCGCTACGCGCTCCAAACGTGTTGATTATCATCGTGAAGTGTCATCTCCTCCCATGATTCAGGTTGCTATGACAACACTGATGAAAATGGGGACCTCGTTAGCACTCCTCTCCGTTTTTATTTATTCTGGACGCGGAGGCTTCAGAAACCACGAGGATGCTCCTCACTGAGAAGGCGGGACATGCAGCTGGGTAATCACAGAAAGGCTGAGCCGGGTACGGAGCTACGCTCTATTAAAGCATCTCTTGTATATCTATATAATGTACTGTATATCTATCTATATATATCTATATACTGTATATCTAGTTTAAGAGATGGATATAAAGATGGTTCGGCTTTGTTCTCTTTCCTGATGATCACCTGACAGGATTTCTCATCAAACACTCCAAACCTGAGAAATGTTTCCCGCCTCGTCGGAAAAGTTTGCATCTAACTACTTCCTGCTCAGTGACACACCATCAGAGGGGATTGTGGGTAGTGATTTGGTGGCAGGGTGGGGAGAGGTGCTGCTGGTGAGAGGTGATGTGATGGAGGTAAAGGCGTGGAGCGAGTGCTCTGTGAGTAATCAGGCCGCCGTCAGCTGGGGGCAACAACATGAGGGAGGGTGGGGGGGTGGGGTTACACAGAGGGGTGGGGTGGGGGTGGAGGGGGTGGGGGGGCGGTACTCACTGACAGCCTATAGTTCTGCATCATTTTATCAAACTCCTCGTCAATTTTTTTGTATTTCTCCTCAGTGCGGGGGGTGAGGGAGAAGGGCTCCTCGGGGTCTGGGCTCTCAGAGTCACGGTGCTCTTTCTTGTTCAGAGCCTTCGTTTCCCCGAACAGAAGAAGAAGAAGAGGAGGAGGAGGAGGAGGAGGAGGAGGAGGAGAGAAAGGCTAGGTTAGATAAGGTGACAAAAGTATGACTGTACTCACGCCGTAGCGTTTGAAGAGGCTGTCCAGGTCCTCGGTCTTGCGGTACTTGTCTTCGTTTAGCGGGCTTTGGTCGATGGAGTCGTCGCCGTCGGGCTCGGGGCTGTTGCAGCCGTTAAAGCCTTTCTTTCGCAACGTCTGAAGCGGTCAGAGAGGGGTAGAGGAGGAGGAGAAGGAGGCAGGTTTACATGTCATGTATCACGCTCTTCCATGACTTCTGTTTGATATACACGTTTGTTATGTTCTCACAGGAACAGAAGCAGAATTCATCAACACAATGCAAAACAGCACAGATTAAACAAATCAAAACAACAACAGGTATCATGAGATCAATGATTAAGGAGTCCACGATGGACACATGTCAGACTCAGACAAACAGAAAACAATGACTTCATGAATAAAGGGAAATTAATTTAAACATTTCATTCAGAGAAAGATGCCTCACATCTACCCGCTGCACATCTACCTGCTGCACATCTACCTGCAGCACATCTACCTGCTGCACATCTACCTGCTGCACATCTACCTGCAGCACATCTACCCGCTGCACATCTACCCGCTGCACATCTACCCGCTGCACATCTACCCGCTGCACATCTACCCGCTTCACATCTACCCGCTGCACATCTACCCGCTGCACATCTACCCGCTTCACATCTACCCGCTGCACATCTACCCGCTGCACATCTACCCGCTTCACATCTACCCGCCTCACATCTACCCGCCTCACATCTACCCGCTTCACATCTACCCGCTTCACATCTACCTGCTGCACATCTACCCGCTTCACATCTACCCGCTTCACATCTTCCTGCTTCACATCTACCCGCTGCACATCTACCCGCTTCACATCTACCCGCTTCACATCTACCTGCTGCACATCTACCCGCTTCACATCTACCCGCTTCACATCTACCCGCCTCACATCTACCCGCTTCACATCTACCCGCTTCACATCTACCCGCTTCACATCTACCCGCTGCACATCTACCCGCTTCACATCTACCCGCCTCACATCTACCCGCCTCACATCTACCCGCTTCATATCTACCGGCTTCACATCTACCCGCCTCATATCTACCCGCTGCACATCTTCTGACTCCCACTCTCTTCATTGTATAAAAATGAATCAGTAAAAGTCAGATGGATCAGTTTGACCCTCTACAGACAAACGAGGAGCATTTTTTATTCCAGCAGCAGATTCAAGCGGAGGAAAAAGAGCCTTGCAGTCAAAATCTCAACCTCTGACAATCCTCCATCGATTTGTCAGGTCAACGTTCACAATGTATTGTCGCCCACGTTATTACCACTCAATGTGCACTCGCACCCCCGCGAGGTGCTCTCTGGAAAGCAAAGGGTTAAAAGGGTGAAACCCAAAAGGAGAGAGCTTTGCAATCAAAGGACGCAGCCGCCTCAATCTTTACTGAGCATACAGGAAGTACAGCCTGAGGCGCTCTCACATAGCAAGAACATGTAGATTACTGAGCGATGTCAGATGACATTGCGAGGCATCGCCCCGCTCTGCACAATCAACAGAGTTACTAATTGGTGTGAAGCTCGGCGGCGAGGAAAGAGGTTGAACTGAGAAAAAAGGGGTAAAGGGCGTTAGGGAGCACGCAGTGGTGTTAGCGTGGAGGTTAACGGCAGTCAGGTTGTGTCAGTGTTAGCACGCTTTGAAAAGGGCGAGAATGAAAGGAGGAGAGAGAGTGAAAGAGAGGAAGAGAGTGAGAGAGAGAGAGAGTGAGAGAGAGAGAGGGAGAGAGGGAGAGAGAGAGAGGGAGAGAGAGGGAGAGAGAGAGAGTGAGAGAGAGGGACAGAGAGAGGGAGAGAGAGAGGGAGAGAGAGAGAGAGGGAGAGAGAGAAAGAGAGAGAGAGAGAGAGAGAAAGAGAGGGAGCGAGTGAGAGAGAGAGTGAGAGAGAGAGAGGAGAGAGAGGGAGAGGGAGAGAGAGAGGGAGAGAGAGAGAGAAAGAGAGAGAGAAAGAGAGAGAGGGAGAGAGAGAGAGAGAAAGAGAGAAAAAGAGAAAGAGAGAAAGTCTCTTATGTATCCCAAATGGAAAATAGATCCCAGACGAGAGCGGGAGAGACTTCAGTGGAGATGTAGCTGTGCTCTCAAAAAGAGAGAAGAAGACGAAGAAGAAGACGAAGAAGAAGACGAAGAAGAGGAGGAGGAGGGAAGTCTACTCAGAGAGTCGTGCTCATCTTCCAGAAGATCAAATCAAACGTCCTGCTCACGTTAGCTGCTAGCGGCTTCAAGGCTAACGTACAGGTAGACATACAGAACAGGTGTTTACAGTTAATGAAACCAACAAGAGCTGAAAGGAGATAAAACAGACTGGTGATTGTTGTCTCTTCATGTTGACTGAGACTCAGCTTCTAAGAGTTTCATCTCTACAGTTGGGAGTTCTAAACTGTAATCTAAAACATGAAGTTAGAGATCGTCAGACTAACATGACCACGTGGCGTTTTCAAAGTGGCTCCTCTGTGAGTCGTCCCCGATGATGGTTGTCATTAATTAGCAGGGGGGAGAGTGGCGGTCTGAAGCACATGTTCTGTGACTCCCACTGAGCTCAATCAAAAGCTAAGTGAGGATGATTCAACAGCGAGCAATCCGGCCTCGAGAGCAGAGCCGGCGGTGAGTTTCCGTACCTGACAGAGCGCCGACAGAGCGCCGAGGGGGCGGAGACGAGAGGCTGTTTTAATTTCAGATGAATTAGTGTCACATGGTCGGAACAGGTGAGGCCAGGAGGGTAATGATGGCTGCTGGGTGTAAAGACACAGTTTTAATAACAATAGTGCTCTTTGATATGAATCTAATTAAATCTCACCGCCATTATCAACGCCGCCGTGTCAGAGCGGGTTATCACACACATTTGTTCCAGCACGGAGACAGTCGCCTGATCAGCTGTTCACTCTCACCGCAACACGTCAGCGCTCTGTTCTGCAGCTTCATGCAAACGTAACGTGCCGAAGCCACCGCCGCCATCACTCGCTTTGTTGTCCACGGATGATTAAAAAAACAGCTGGTGTGTGGATGTGTGTGTGTTCTGACAGCAGGAGGACTTCCTGTTTCAAACAAACTGGGTCGGAGCAGTCGGGATAAAACTGATCTCAGAAATCTATATACTTTTTCTACTTCCTGTGTCTCTCATGTTTGACTCACTTCCTGTGTACATGACATTTCCTCTGAGCTGTAAATATGAGATGATCTATGACCTATCCACTACGTCCTCTATCCTTTCCTATGCCCTATGTCCTATCCTATGTCCTACTTCCTCTCCTATGCACTACATCCTCTCCTATCCACTACGTCCTCTATCCTCTCCTATGTCCTATCCTATGTCTTATTTCTTCTCCTATGCACTACGTCCTCTATCCTCTCCTATGTCCTATCCTATGTCCTACTTCCTCTCCTATGCACTACGTCCTCTCCTATCGACTACGTCCTTTATCCTCTCCTATGTCCTCACCTATGTCCTACGTCCTCTCCTATGTCCTCTCCTATGCACTAAGTCCTCTCCTATCCACTACGTCCTCTCCTATGTCCTACGTCCTCTCCTATGTCCTATCTAAATGGTAAATGGACTTGAGATTGTATATTTATTTTCACACGCTGATGGTAGAGGCTGCTGGGTAAAGAGTCCGTCAGTATTAACTCATCCATTCATACGCCGCCGACGAAGCAGCGGGAGAAATTCTACTACTCTACCACTGAGCCACAGCCGTCCTCACTCTCAACGTCCAAACTGAAATGTAATTAGAAGAGTGAAGAAAGAACTCATCGTCTTTCTCGTACAAACACGGCGTCAGCAGTGTCTCTCTCTCTCTCTCTCTCGCCCTCTCATGTAAACAGAAATTATATTAGTGAACATTGCAGAATAAACCTGGGCAGCCTCTCTCTCTCTCTCACTGACCGTTTGTGTTACATTACAGTAAGCTGGCATGCTCTCTCTCACACACACACACTCACACACACACACACACACACACACACACACACACACACACACACACACACACACACACACACACACACACACACACACACACACACACACACACACACACACACACACACACACACACACACACACACACACACACACACACACACACACACACACACACACTCTGTCATCCTGTGGTCAGCTTGTGTCTCAGTCAGCCATCTGTTCACCTGTAGGCCCTCTCCCTCTCTATCTCCCTCTCTATCTCTCTCTCCCTCTCTCCCTCCTCCTCTCTCTCTCTCTCTCTCTCTCCTTTGTGTTGCCAGGGTAGGATTCACCCTGCAGAGCACCACGCCGGCCTCTGACTGGCTGCAACCACTGGCAAACCCCACCCCCTTATCTCCCTCCTTTCCTCCTCCCCTCTCTGGCTCACTTGCTCGCCCGCCCACCCGCCTGTCCGCTCGACCTCTGTTTCCCTCTCTCTCTCTCTCTCTCTCTCTCTCGCCTTCTCATCTCTCGGCCCACCACCTTTAACGGCGCTCTCGCTCTATCGCAGAAAAGTGCAAAGTCTCACACTCGTCCTTCTGTGTTTTTTCGCCCTTTTCCTTTTAATGTCGCCATATGTGAGTCTCCCTCCCCCTCCCCCTCTCTGTGTCCTCCTTTAACCCACTCTCTCTCTCTCTCGCCCATATCTTGACCTGGTCCGGTAGCGTCACATTCACACCCCGTCTGTCCTGCTCGTTCGCCCCTCCCTCTCTTCTTGATCTTCATTGATCTTTTAGTTTCTAACTGAACCGTTTCTGCAGAACTATAAACCATCAGTCTCGACTCCCCGAGCGGCGTTAAAGGTTCAGAGTCCTGACTCATCGACAAGTCGTGTTTAAACGGCGTCTCTTCAAAGTTCACCTCAGATGGTCACATTAACGTTTGGTTTTCTTTGCTCTCTGATAAAACGTTTTAAAGTTTTGTACGGTTACACTTTGACGTTTGGAGACGTCAGAGAAGAAAAAGTATTTTGAATTTGTATAAACAATCACAGTAGTTGAGCCCCCGCCGCGTCCCCCTGCAGCCTCTGTCATCACTTCTTGCTGTGGCTATCATGGCGGCTAACAGAATCAGCTACTTAAGAGATGATTGGTGACGCTCCCCTCGCTGTGAGCCAGGAGGATCGGGGCGTCGCCCACAGCCCTTAAACCCCTCCCCCTCCGTGCAGAGACTCTCTGCTGTAAGCTCTGCGTCCTGAGGGCCGCTCAGAGTTTAAAAAAAAAAAAAAAGGGCTTTCCCGCTCTCTGACCACCGTGAAGCTTTCTGTCCGCGTCTATTCATTGCCGCTCTTTTAGCCTTTCCCTCGCTCGTGTCCCCTCGCTCACTTCCTTCGCTCGCTCTGATTGGGATCTGCAGTCAAGTGGATTAACATACTCTGGCAGGACACACACACACACACACACACACACACACACACACACACACACACACACACACACACACACACACACACACACACACACACACACACACACACACACACACACACACACACACACACACACACACACACACACACACACACACACACACGAATGTGAGATAAAGTGCTTCTAACCATACAGGGACACTTCATGTTCAGTACACACAGGGTGACATACATGTGTGTGTGTGTGTGTGTGTGTGTGTGTGTGTGTGTGTGTGTGTGTGTGTGTGTGTGAGCCTGCGTGACTAAATCCACACTTCATAATTCATACTCAAAAGCACTTGCTTGGAGAGACTCACGGTTGCAGAGCAGCAAACGGGCACATTGTGTGACTATCCAATTATCCTCTCTCTCTCTCTCTCTCTCTCTCTCTCTCCCTCTCTCTCTCTCTCTCTCCCGCTCTCTCTCTCTCCCTCTCTCCCTCTCTCTCTCTCTCTCTCCCTCTCTCTCTCTCCCGCTCTCTCTCTCTCCCTCTCTCCCTCTCTCTCTCTCTCTCTCTCTCTCTCTCTCCCTCTCTCTCTCTCTCGTTCTGTCATCGGGCCGTCCCGGCTCTGCCTTGGACCTCCTCTGTACCTCTGTACTTAGTCTGGAGTCTTTGATAATGACCGTATAAATCGTCTGTACGCTCTCATTCTTTGAATACTTCCCTCTGAATTCCCCCGACACTCCCAGCATGCATTACTTATTTTACCAATCAGGACCTGCTTCACTGAGCCCAATAAAAGATGGAGGCTACTTCAAATAGTTTGAGCATCTTAACCGAAGTCTCTCCTCATCAAACACAGAGAGAATGAAACCGAACCAGGAGCTCCATGACGGCCTGATTACACCACAGGAGGGGGGGGGCTTGGGGGGGGGGGGACATGTTCGGTTTTCTAGGAAATTAAAAACCATAAAAACAACAATGAAAACGCCACCATCACTGTGTCGTATATCTCCACTGAGGAGACCTTTCAGCGTGCCACTCTGAGTCTTTAGCTTACAGCGGGATGAAGACGGTTTCTCTGAGGTCACACGAGGACTCACTCCTGACCTCAGGTTTCCACATGTGGCAGCAAAGGTTATATTATATTATCTATATTATCTATATCTATTAATAGAATAGAATATGGATGGTTGGAAGAAGCTAACACCCGCTTAGCAACACATCCAGCAGCAGAGGGGACAGCTGAGGACACACGCTGGACAAAGGTACTAAAAAGCCTCCTGGAGGACGGTTTCTGTGTGTGTGTGTGTGTGTGTGTGTGTGTGTGTGTGTGTGTGTGTGAGAGGGGTGGAGTAAACAGGGTGGTAAAGGAGGGAAGCTCCGTCGTAGGACACACACAGAAGTAGAAGCTCACCAGGCCTGAATATTGTATGAGGAGATCTCATGGGCCACTGCAGAGCGTGCAGAGACACACACACACACACACACACACACACACACACACACACACACACACACACACACACACACACACACACACACACACACACACACACACACACACACACACACACACACACACACACACACACACACACACACACAACACACACACACACACACACACACACACACACAGAGTGACACACTTGAAAACACAAACACATGTACGCACACAAACAGAGCCAGTGGAGCTTGAGCTGATGTGGCCCGAAGCAGCCCAACGCCCTGGCGCGCGCACACACACACACACACACACACACACACACACACACAAACTAAGAGCCCATCTGCAGCTGGAGATACAGCCTACAGAAAGGCTTTACTGCTGACACAGTGAGAGAGAGAGAGAGAGAGAGGGGAGAGAGAGGGAGAGAGAGGGGGAGAGACAGAGAGAGGGAGAGAGAGGGAGAGAGAGAGAGAGGAGAGAGAGAGATAGAGGGAGAGAGAGAAAAGGGGATAAAAAAAGGAGGGACAGTGGTGACAGAGTAAATCAGGTTAAAGGAATGAGGAAAAAGAGGAAAAAGGGGAGGAAGGAGGAGAGAAAGAACGGAAGGAATGAGAAGAGGAAGTGACAGACAGAAGAGTGGAGGTGAAAAACATGGCAGCTACCTCAGTCAAAAAGCCAAAAGTGCTTGGTGGACACTTTCCCTGAGATCTCAGCCCTGATTGGTTTAAATCTCAGTGGATGCAGCAGCAGCAGCCCCTTCAGCCCTCTGCAGAGGGACGCACGCTACGACACCATACGATACCAAACGCTGCTCGTTTGACGCACACGATTACAAACTTCCTAAAAAACCATGTCCATCATGAAACACAACTTAAATCAGTGCAAAAGTTACAAACAGCAGGATGCAAACACACATCCACTACAGCCTCAAGAAACCTGAAGAGAACATGAATTGACTGATGAAAACAGATCCACTCTGCTCAAAGTCTCCAATCCAGAGACGTGGAAAGGACCAGATAGGCCTTTAATAAATGTATTTATATATATATATATATATCTATGTATTTATATCTATATATTTATATATATGAATCTATATCTATGTATTTATATCTATGTATCTATATATCTATATCTATGTATTTATATCTATGTATCTATATATCTATGTATTTATATCTATGTATCTATATATCTATATCTATGTATTTATATCTATGTATCTATATATCTATATCTATGTATCTATATCTATGTATCTATATATCTATATCTATGTATCTATATATCTATGTATCTATATATCTATGTGTCTATATATTTATATCTATGTATTTATATCTATGTATCTATATATTTATATCTATGTATTTATATCTATACCTGTGGACATGGGAATGCAGTCTGACATCCACGACAGTTCCTGGTCTTTTTAAAGATCCAGTTCCAGATCAGACACTAAACTGGGACTGAAGATCTAAACTGGACTCTCGGGACCCGTGCAGACTCTCACTCAGTTATCTGTTTTTAAGGCTTTTTATTAAACACTTGTTTCTTTTAAATGTTCAAATAAAGATACCCCCCCCCCCCCCCCTCACCAGCTGCTGATTGATTTCGATGTTAGTGGATAGAAACAGACAACACGGAGAAGAGCCTTCAAGCTGAAGTTAGAGGTGGGAGGAGCCTCTCAGGGGTTCAGCAGATGAATCAAAGTCTCTGCCAAGCCTCTGGGCTCCTTCCATTAACCAATCGATGTTTCAGCCTGAGAGACTCATCATGAGGCGTTCAGGTCCAGCTCTCCTGACACTCAGGTAGGCAGAGCATCAAACATAGAAACTCTGCTGTCTCCTCCTCTTAACCAATCAGCAGTTTGATCACACCAACGTGTAATACTGAGACTAACCTGCAGGGTCAGGGGTTGGGGGGGGGGGCTGTTTAAAACACCAGACCGTCCCTTTAATTTAAATCTGTCACCGTGGTTACGGTTACACGGGTTAGGAATCAACTCAACGTGCAGTCAGTCAGTAGAAAACTCAGATCATGAGAATCAGATTTGATGGATAGTCAGAGTCTGTGTTCACGCTGCAGGAAGACTTGAACCCGATCTTTCATCAGGACCATAAACATGAACCGGGGTCTCGTGACCTCCTGCAGAGAAACGTGCTGAAAGAAGAGCGAGAGAAGTCAGAGCTCAACGCTGCACATGAAGAATCCTGAGTGCTGCTCTGGAGTGCTCGCTGAATCATACCTAACCAGCTCGTCCTCCCCCCCTCCCTCCCTCCCTCCCTCCCTCCCTCCTTCCCTCCCTCCTCCCCCTCCCTCCCAGGCTCTACCTCGATGATGTCGGCGTTGGTCCGGCTCTCGTGCGGCTCGTTGTACTCGGTGTACTTGAGCAGGACTTTGTCCATGTCGGTGCTGGCGTACTGGAACAGTTTGTTGGAGTGGTTGAAGATGATGAGGGCGATCTCACAGTCACACAGAACGCTCAGCTCGTACGCCTTCTTCATCAGGCCAAACTTCCTCTTAGTGAATGTCACCTGGGGGAGGAAAAGAAGGGGGGGAAGAGAGAGGGGGAGAGGGAGGGAGGAAGACAGGGAAGGGGGAGAGAGGGAAGGAGAAGGGGGGAGGGAGGGGGGATAAGATGGATGTTAGTACTTTGGTAATAATCATCATTATAAACAGATTCCTACAACAGGTCCTTTTTCTGAAGGTGATCAGAGACTCTGACGCCGGTTAGGAGGAATATCTCAAAGTTTCCACGTGTTTAAGATCAACTCGTCTTCAGGGGCGTGTCCCCCTAAACGGATGACGGCGTGTGTTCAGTTTATGATCTATCTATTTCTCTTCTTCATGATAAAGGGTTGAAGGGATGAACACACTCGTCTGTTAGTGTCCTCCTGATCTGTTGAGGAAGGATTCAAAGTCAGTAAGAATCCTCGACCTGCAGATCTGCAGCGCAGGATGTCAGGGACAGACGGAGTGTCTGAACACACACACACACACACACACACACACACACACACACACACACACACACACACACACACACACACACTCCGTTATGCTCTTTTCTTTGCTCTCTTTCTATGTTGTAAACTCTCCCGCTCCACTCTCCACACTCCCCTTCTGTCACACGTTATATTTCTCTTTTCCTCTCTCTGACACACACACACACACACACACACACAGACACAAACACACACACATAAACACACTTCAACAAGCCCCCTCAGTTATGAGTGCTGCTGAAGCAGGGGCCCTCGTTGTCTGTTGGCTTCAGAAGCTCTTCACTGCTTCAACCAACCAACTGGCATTTACGATCCACAGAGATTTGGCTTTGTTTGGATTAAACACACGGGCTCACACAAACACAAACACAAACACAAACACACAAACACACACATTTACACACACACACACACACTGCGAGCGAGATTAAGACAGAGAGAGAGAGTTAGTTTCAGTATATCTGCTGTTGGAACAAAGGGAGCAAATAAAAAAGTTGCACAGATGGCGTGATGGAGTTCATTAAAAGGTTTAGAAGAAGGAGACGATAAGCCACGCCCACCAGTGACATCAACACTTCTTCCATCAGTCGTTAACGCCTCCATCATCTCTCCATCATCTCTCCATCATCTCTTCATCATCCCTCCATCATCTCTCCATCATCTCGTCCCTCCATCATCTCTCCATCATCTCTCCATCATCTCATCCCTCCATCATCTCTCCATCATCTCTCCATCATCTCATCCCTCCATCATCCCTCCATCATCTCTTCATCATCTCGTCCCTCCATCATCCCTCCATCATCTCGTCCCTCCATCATCTCTCCATCATCTCTCCATCATCTCATCCCTCCATCATCTCTCCATCATCCCTCCATCATCTCTCCATCATCTCATCTCTCCATCATTCCTCCATCATCTCTCCATCATCTCTCCATCATCCCTCCATCATCTCTCCATCATCTCATCTCTCCATCATTCCTCCATCATCTCTCCATCATCTCATCCCTCCATCACCCCTCCATCATCTCTCCATCATCTCTCCATCATCTCTCCATCACCCCTCCATCATCTCTCCATCACCCCTCCATCATCTCTCCATCATCCCTCCATCATCTCTCCACCACCCCTCCATCATCTCTCCATCACCCCTCCATCATCTCTCCACCATCCCTCCATCATCTCTCCACCATCCCTCCATCAGCTCTCCATCAGCTCTCCATCACCCCTCCATCATCTCTCCATCACCCCTCCATCATCTCTCCACCATCCCTCCATCATCTCTCCATTATCCCTCCACCATCTCACCATCATCCCTCCATCATCTCTCCATCATCTCTCCATCATCTCATCCCTCCATCATCTCTCCGTCACCCCTCCATCATCTCTCCATCACCCCTCCATCATCTCTCCACCATCCCTCCGTCACCCCTCCATCATCTCTCCACCATCCCTCCATCATCTCTCCACCATCCCTCCATCATCTCTCCATTATCCCTCCACCATCTCACCATCATCCCTCCATCATCTCTCCTTTATGCCTGTCTTATCTCATCCTTCTGTCTTTCTCTCTCACTGTCATTTCTTATTTCTCGCCCTCGTTTACTCTTCCTGTCTTCTCTCTCTCTTTTTTTTCCACATCCTCCCCCCACTCTCCCTCCCTCCGTTCTCACTCGCTCACTCATTGCTTCCTGCTGCCACAAATCAAATTATATCGGGGTCGTATCCACGGGCAACCGACTCCCTCCTCCTGCCTCCCCTCCGCCCCCCATTTCCCACCTCATCACACTCTGCTGCCATCATCTTACCTCGCTCGCTCTCTCTCTCTCTCTCTCTCCTCCTGTCTTTATCTCACTGTCTATCTGCATATCTCCCCCTCCCCCCTTCTATCTCTCACAGAATGAGCAGATGAATTATGTTGCGATGTTGGTAAGGGAGGAAATTACGGCTGTGCAGAATGACGATTGGTTGGTGATGAAGAGACAAGCCTCCTCAAACAACAACAACAACGACAGCTCTGCTAACAAATGATCAGAACATCCATCCAACAAAAAGCGGCGCTGAAAACAAACAAAACCACCTCAAACATCCCTCTCCCTTCTTCTTCTTCTCTTAGAGAAAGTGGGCGGCGGGGTAAGTGACTCTGGGTCCCGCTGTTTGCCACAAAAGATAAACAAGCTGGAGGTAATTGACATTAAGAGCGGAATTGCCAGGTAACCAATGGCAACTGAAGACTGAGACATCGTCAGCGTGGAGAGAAAGGAAGAGAGAGAAAGGGGGCGAGTGGTTTGATGTGTATGTGCGTGTGTCTTGGCGAGGTGGTGGCGGTGTGGCAGATGGATGAGGAAACCACCACTGACAACCGCAGCCTCCCCACGCTGTTTCCTGTAGCTAGTCTCTCTCTCTCTCTCTCTCTCTCTCTCTCTCCCTCTCTCCCTCCCCGTGTCTCTCTCTCTCTCCCTGTCTCCGTCTCTCTCCCTCTCTCTCTCCATCTCTCTCTCTCTCCTTCTCTCTCTCCCTGTCTCCGTCTCGCTCCTTCTCTCTCTCTCTCTCTCTCTCCCTCTCTCTCTCGCTCTCTCTGTCTCCCTCTCTCCCCCCTCTCTCTCTATCAGCGTCCAGTCTGAACCGCTCAAACACAGATCACCTGGCGCTCAGGTGGACACGGGTCATTAACCCACAATCTCCCCCTCTCAGGGTTTTCTTTCAAACATTAAATTCTGTAGAAGAAGAACAACCCGGCGTCTCATTCAACGACCGCCATCTCTGAGTTTCAGACATTAAACTGGATCAAACACATCGGAGGTCTCTGCTTGTCAGGCGGGCAAGCAGGCGGGTCCATAAGTGTGTGATGCCACCTGAAAGCGCTTAAAGAGGCCCCGTGTCCACCGAGTGTGTTTTTATCTGACGCCAGCGTCTTCTTTTTAAATTGAGTAGAAAGCGTTTTCTGAGCGCTCTGCCATTTTTGTGTGATGGCTCCGAACGCAGTTTGAGCGCAGTAGTTTTGGCGCCTACAGATCGTGTCTTGTACCCTCATCCTCCTTGCTCTGCAGCTGATCGGGAAATAAACGATCTCAAATATAAAACATCGGTCATACAGCGGTGGTCAGACTGTTGTCATGGAGACAGGACGGACGTGCAGCGCTTTTCTTCTCAGCGCACAAACACAGCGAGCGCTTTTCTACCTGGAAAAAACGGCAGGTGGAAACGGCGCCTTTAAAGCCCGAGACGCCAGGTGAGACATCGCTCTGACGCCGTCACAATCAAGACCAATCAAAGAGTTTGAACCTTTAGTGCTGGAACCAAAGAACCCTGAACGTTAAAACGACGTTAACACGACACTCGTTTACTTTGTGCACGATATCGTAAAGCGTTCAACTCTTCACGCCTGAAGGCTCGTGGCATCAAAGACGTGCGGACGCCTTCTCTCTGATGGATCCAAACGGTCCGCCATGCTCGGCGCTCTTCCTCCTGCGTCCTTTGTCTCCATGAAGACGTGTTCCCACACTCCGGGCGCCGTTTATTCTGCACAGCTTATGGTTTCATCTCAGAATCGACACGTAGGAGGGTGACGGCCGCTTGTCATTAGCTGAAGTAACGCCGCGCAAGCGTGGAAGAATCCGTCTTCCTCCAGAGCGTGACAGAAGGACTGTAGATCAGACCGTAAGATACACAGAGGTGGAAACGTTGCTCGCTAATCAGCTGAGCGTGCTCCATAAGTCCTCTCTGATGTTCTGACCGTGTCTGACCACAGAGTGCGTCCCCTTATTGACAAACTAAAGCCAGGACGGTTATCCTGAGCCTCCACCTGCATGTCTTCACTGATTAATAACCGCCGCTCACCCCCTGCAGGCGCCGTTTATTCTCCTTTATGGAAATGCGACCTGCTCAGATTGATGAGGAGAAAAGTGAGGATGATGTTCCAAACCCCGCGGCGAGCAGGCGGTCACACCGCTCAGGTCGCTTCTCTCTCCTCTTGTTTTCCTCCTCGCTCCTCGTGCTTCTGAAGGTGGGCGTGTCAAATCCATTACTCAATCTGCTCAATGGAGCAGAACCCGTTTTGGATCATTTCCCCTTTCATGGTCTCTGACAAAGCAGCTGATGTAACCAGAGGGGCTGAGCGGAGCAGAGAGAAACATGATGCCACTGTTCTGTTCTGTTGTTGGATCAGCTGAGCAGACAGCCAGTAGTTAGCATACTAACATGCTACATGCTCATCACACGAGTCTCAGTTTTCTGTCACCACGCGGCCTTCAGGTGATCCTGGGAAACATCAAACTTCTCAGTTGTTCAGCCGTAATGACCACACAAACAAACATGGACGCTTGAAGTGAGGTTGTTTTCTGGTGGCTGATGTTGAAGCGAGCAGCTCCTTTAAGCTTCAGACGCACAATGACGAGCGCAGGACGTTATCGATGTGTCTCACCTGGGGCCTGAGCTTCAGGTGGACGTTATCGATGTGTCTCACCTGGGGCCTGAGCTTCAGGTGAACGTTATCGATGTGACTCACCTGGGGCCTGAGCGTCAGGTGGACGTTATCGATGTGTCTCACCTGGGGCCTGAGCTTCAGGTGGACGTTATCGATGTGTCTCACCTGGGGCCTGTACTACTTAGAGAGTTCAACATACCCAGGCTGTTTTTGGGTGATCTGGCTTCACTAACCCTAACATCAGAGAGCGAGATTAACAGTCACATGAAGATGGTTATCAACCTGGTAAGTTACCCTCGAGTTTCAGAGAGCGCATTCAAATAAAAGGGGCGGAGTTAGCTACATTCAACCTATCACAATCATCACTGACTCTGCTGTCAGCAGATCGTCATATCTAACAAAGATTTCCACAGGCTGATCTCTTTTCTCCAACATAACCTGGAGCAGGTTAGGTGTGCAGCATAGGTTACCATGGCGATATACTCAGGTAACAAGTGAACACAGCCATGTTGTTGTGATGTCGACTCAGGGCGACTGTTTCCTGATTATTCAGAAACTACAGAGGATGTGGAGACGCATCAGTTTAAAGACTGAGCGCGGCGGCCTCTGAGTCGCTGCGTCTCGACCCGGTCTCTGTGGCGATGTTCTGAACACTAAAGAATGAACCCGTGCTTACCTGTCTGTTGCGTTCGTCAGTGATCCTCTGGATCTGGATCTTTTTCCTCCCCATGGTTCCGGTGTGGCGGTGGGGGCGGAGTCAGGGATGGCTGTGGTCGCGTTTCTTCCTCTTTAAGATGTCTGCTTGCCGTGCGCTCTCGAGGACGAACGTCTCCAAGTGGATTTAAAAGAGTTTAAAAAAAAAAAAAGAAAAAGACGGGGAGAAGGAGGAAGAGGAAGATCAGGGTTTGGCGTATGGCGCACTCTTCAGATCATGGTCCTGCTTCCGGGGTGAAGGTCATCAGGCTGACGGGGGTCCTCTGGCCTCCCCTTCACCTCAGATCCTGAAACACAGAGACATTCATTCAGTGAGAGACTCTGTATACGTTGACCCACTTTATCTGCGGCCTGACCCCGCGTACAGCCAGAGGAGGAATGATGCAGCGGAGCATCAAGGGAAGGGGAGGGTGGGAGTGTTTGTGGAGCTACATGCAGAGCAGGAGGCCCTCAGGGGCCCGAGAGCAGGGAGGCTGTGCTGTGTCAGCTTCATTAGAGGCATCACCGCCACATCACTGATCTGCTGGTCGCCCGCGGCAACCGGCTGCCCGAGACGGGGCCCGCCTGACACGCCGAATGTGGTTCCCCAATCGAAGGCAGAGATAGAGAGAGCGAGAGGGAAAGAGAGAGAGGGAGAGTTAGGGAGAGAGAGAGAGAGAGAGAGTGGAGATATTCTCCCTGTCAGAGAAGACTTCCTGTTCTGAGCTGGTTAATAGTTTAAACGCGATCTGTGATGACGAAGTCAGACGGTCACGTTTTCACTCACTGTTAAACATCAGGAGAATAATATTCTTTTTATAAGAACAGATGTAAGGTTTTCTTTTCTGGTGTCAACGGGCTGAACGTTAGTTGTTCTGACATCATGACCATCAGAACAGACTTCACGCACTCGGGTTCAGTGATGATGTCACGCCTGATTACCTGAGCTGACCTAACTCAACACTTGTGACGAAGATAAAGAGTGCCAGAATGTCTGACTAACCATGAAATAAGGCGGCTCTGCTGCATGCTGGGACGCCTGACCAAACATATGAAAGGGGTTAAATGTGGCGTCCAAAAAGAGGCGGGGTCTTTGAGCCGAGGGAGTCTGCAGACTCATGAATGAACGAGGAGGAGGCAGGGCTGATTAGACCCTGTTTCTACTATCTGTAGTTCAGCTTTAAAAATAGAGCTCTATATATACATACACACACACACACACACACACACACACACACACACACACACACACACACACACACACACACACACACACACACACACACACACACACACACACACACACACACACACACACACACACACACACACACACACACACACACACACACACACACACACACACACACACACACACACACACACACACACACACACACACACACACACACACACACACAGGTTGGCAGCGTTTCAGAGCTGAATCTGGAAAGCTGTGAGTACAGACACCACACCGGCTCTCCAGCATTGTTTGCATTCTCTCTACCTGGGAGAGCAGCAGCATAAGAAGAACGCCCTCCGTTTACATCCATTCTTATCAAACAAAGAATGTGAAACAGGCCTTCATGAGACTGACGTTCCCTTTGTGCTGCTGTGGGCGCCGCTCTGCACGCTCGTTTGGAGAGGATGCACTTGGCTTTGCTTTGGCGATGAGTTGCTCATGAATAATGCACTGAAGGGGGGGGGGGGGGGGGGGGCTGAGAGAAAGAGGGTGTTAGGAGTGTCATAATTGTTTTGTAAAAAGGCTTGATGAAGAACTGGAGGCTGCTTCCTACATGGAAAATCTACAATAAGCTGCAGGAACTGAATGTACAAACTATTGGCAGCATGGAGCTCAGATTCTCTGCCAGCTTCTCTTAAATCCTCTTCTTCATCACATCCTCATCTTGTTCTTTTTAGACAGGCACAGATTTAACAAAAGCGTAATGAATTCTACCTGGATCACCTCATTAGTGTGCTTCTTAAAAAGGAGTAGGTGTTCCTAATATGTTGTGCAGTCACTCGTTTCATTCAGCTCCAAATGGCACCGCTGAGAGCTGCAGGTAACATCAGCTGCAGAATAAAGAGAGGGGGGCTGAAGTTCAAAGGCAGTGCACTGAGGGATTTGTCTTTAGGCAGCGGGTTGATCACACATGAAAAGGATGCTTTATCTGCCGGGGGGTGGTCAAGTCTCAACCTTTTTACTCTTCATTCTTCCCATGTCAGACTGAATCTCTGTGCTCACATGGGAAGCATGGGGGCCTGGAGTGTGTCTGCTGCCTGGCCGAGCAGGCCACACCGAGGCTCTGCACAATAAAAAGAGTAATGCAGATAATTAAGAATCTGCAGAGGTCCCAGATTATAACCCTGGAGAACGCCCAGAAACGTTTAGATGTTTTATTTCACAAGAGCCGAGTGACAGGCTCCTTCTTTTAAGATTTCTAAGAGCTGGACTCAGAGAACCTGGTGCATTAAAGCACACATGGATTAGAGAGCGTTCAAGGCACGGATGTTTCAAGTACATCCACTACATTTCTAGATTTAAGATCAGATGCTTAAGCTGTCAAGACTTCATGAAAATGTAATCATCCCGATGGAGAAACTGGGAAGATTGGCTGAAAGAGAGTAGAGTCTGCCAACACCTGCCCTAAAAGCATTTAAAAGGCCACTTTTGAAAGGACACTGAATCCCAAACAAAAGGAGGACCTATCAGACTTTCCTCTAAACTGTAACTAGCTAACCCTTCCTATGCTAACACAGTGTGCTAACAGCAACAAACATCCATTCAGTCAGTACACAGTAAACACTGCAGGGAGGACTGCCGTCACGATCTTTCCAGTTTGCTGCTTCCAGTTTGCTGCCGGTGACAGTACAAACCACATGCTGAACAAAGCTGTCAGTATTAAGGTAGAGATAAGTTTTAAATGAATCTGTTATTTTAATGATCGACAGTATCCAAAAGTAACAAAGCTTTAGAAACAACTTGGGATCTACATTGCACAAATACTTCATCCAAATTAGAACAAGAGGGAAACACTCACTCCTCTACGGCTCTTCCGTCTTGTCCCAACGTTTACAACTTGTTCGTGCAATTCAGACTTTTTGGCAGCAATTTTGGAAATCAAAAACAACCAAATATTGGGCTTCTAGGACTTTTCGTGTTGCCGTGGTATCAACTACTCTTAAATATGTCCCTATCATCACTACCTGGAGCTCTCATGTACGGAGTCTGGGTCTGTTATGACCAAGAGGCAACCTCCGGTCTCGAAAAATGAAGCCTATGCGGAAGTACAAAAAACTGCAGTTCCTCGAGGTTCCTCTTGAGGCTGGCTGCAGAAGCGCCAGAAGTGCCATAAGCCCACAGCCAAAAAAGCCCGTTTTTACCACAGGAATCAACATGTTTACAGCCTGGTTCAAAAAACGAGATATATCTGATAAGTTGATGGCCCCTTCTCCTCACACTGTGGGGGGGGTGAATTTTTTTATAACTCATCGGATTTTGGAGAGTTTGTTTAAAACATATCTGACAACATACATGGCTTGCTGTGCTTGTTAACAGACCATCCAAGAAGTTGATGCTTCAGTTTTCTTCGGTAAGTGATATAGTAGTGTTATATTTACTGTATACTTGTGTGTCGGTATTTATATTTACGGACCTAGCTTGTTTAGCAGGAGGAGGGTTTGCACCTTGGAAGACTGTATTCATGCTGTTCAAATAAAATAGATCTCCTTCAAACAACTTGCAATCAAACCATTTTCTTCCCATTTTAAAACCCTTTGTCCAGTTTAGATGGGAGAAGTTGATATTATATATTGATATAGTGATATTGATCAGGGAAGACTACATTTCTAAATCATTTTTAACTGTGTTTTTATTTACAAGTTATTGATCTTATTTACTCTCCATGTATCTTGATTTAAGAATGGGACTGTGTTTAAGGGCAAATTTTTGCAATGACTCTGTTCCATCCCACTTTCAGAAATGAACTACATTAGTATTTGGTAAAAAAAAATGTCAAAAGAATAAGAAGTTGTGTAAAAGTAGACTTCCTTCCCTTAGCTATTGAGTTGAGCATTAATGCACATTTTAGTCTTGTCATTTCAAATCTGAAATGTATACACATAAGTAGACATAAAGGAGTGCATTTATATAGAAATATTTATTTAATCTGAAAAACAACATCTACAGCAGAGATGAACATGTTTACAGCTTGGTACAAAACAAACAAATAGGTGTGATTAGCTCATGTCTCGATGGACACACACTGTACGGGGGGGGTGAATGTTTGGATGACTCATCAGTTTTGATTTGATGAAGGATAAGAGTTATTCACAATAAGGCGTGTAGCTGACCAGCTTGACAGGTGGGCGAGGTGTAACGGTTTGTCAAGAGGCTTAAACACGCCTCAGCTCCAGCTCTCAGCCTGTGGGTGACATCACTCAGGCCATCCGGGGGAGACCTCCCTCACAGCGAGCTGTTGAAGAGAAGCAACTGAAGTCCACCCCAGAAGAACCAACAAATACAGATGTTGTTGAGGCTCAGGTTTCTTCCTCTGTCTCTGCAGCTCTCTGGGCACCTCGACGGACAAGTCACCAATAATCCACACTGTGTCTATAGGAGAAATACAAAGGTGTTCAATTAATACCTCAGACAAGACAAAATGTACAGTTAACTACATGTGACAGCTCAGGGTGTTTTTTTGTTATGAGCCACATCTGCAGGAATAATATTGAACAAGGTAGCTGCAACTCCTAATAATAGATGTCAGTCTTAAACACTATTTTTTCTAATACTTAGTTTTTGGTGTGAAGCTGACACTGTCCACAGACTCCATGACTTCACGGGGTTCAATAGAAAACAAATGTCTTATAATAAATACTAAATAATTATTTTTCAATTGTCATGTTCACCTCATCGCTGTTGACATCAGTAAATATAAAACACAGACATTCCTCTTTTTGTCAGAACAGTAACATGAACTGTATGCTTTGTAATATTCATTTCTTCTGGATGTCTCATATTTATTTACAGTCTATGGATAAAACTTTGATAATGTATTGCTCTGCTAACACTGACAAAGTCTAACTGCTCTGACAAATAACTAATAACCATGATTGTATATTTAAAAAAGTGTAGTTTTAAGACTTTAATTAAATATCTTGGTTGAATATAATTCGTTTTAACTGTGTTGTAGAAAAGTTAAATGTTAACTTACTGTTTGTAGAGTTTTCTGAGGACGAGCAGGAATCGGGGATGATAGCAGCCTAGCTGTTAGCTATGCTGTCAAGTGGACTGCTAACGTCGAGC